CCTCCTCCTCCTCCTCCTCCTCCTCCAACATCTGTTCCAAATGGAAACCCATTTCTGCTATGTAATAGAAACATAGAAAAGGTAAAAAATGTTATCTCATAATTCAGATAGTTTCTTGCAATTCTGGAAAGAATAAAATTGATTTTTCAGAAACACAATTCTTAGTTTACATCTCGCAATTCTGCATCCCCCCTCAGAATTCTGAGTTTACCTCTCACAATTCTGAGATTATATATCGCAAATGTGCATTTTATCTCAGAATTCCGAGTTTACATGAGTTTAGAATTCGCAATTCTGCCCTTTTTTTCCTCAGAATTCTGAGTTTGTATCGCAATCGCAAAAAAAGAATTGTGAGATATAAACTCAGAATTGAGAAAGTCACAGTTACCAGTTTTTTTTATTTTTTTTATTCCTTGGCAAAAACAGGCTTCAATAGTATGCAAGTTTGGTAAGCAAGTATGAAGTTCTGCTTATAAAGCAGATTGTTTTACGGCAGCAACACATGCATGTGCCCAGCTGTTCACTGTAATTACCAGAGTCATATATTTACGACCCATTTAACTGTAAGGGGCTCCAAAGCTGCAAAAATACACAAAATTACATACAGTGGCTTTAATATTGATCAAACTAAGATGAGACAGCCTTTCAATATGTTTCCATCTCTATTATCTCAAGCTAACCATAAGAAAAGCCTTTTCAGGAGACTGAAAAATCTTTTATGAAACATCCTTGAAACTGATGAAAATGAAAGAGGTGATGGACCTGCTTTGCTTTATTATACTTCCTCTATATCCCTTCTTCCCGGTTTCTCTGAGACATGGCTGTGATGACCCTTCACTTTGATTCCAAACTGAGACCTGGATCTCTTCTTTAGATCAAAGATCAACCGTTGTAGTAGTCATTTCATATTAAAGGGTAAACATGTGCAACAAAGAGCAAAAAGTCAATGCGGTGCATAGTTCATTTTTGCATGCAGTGCCTTTTTTTTGCAGACAGTTTTCTGGCGATGAGTCCTTTAATAAAAGTCACTGTTTTGCTTTCTGAAAGCGTTCAGTTAGATCCTAGCTTGCTTCTGATTTGCTTTGAAAACTTTTGATTTATGAGTGGCCTCCGGCATGAAAAATATTACATGAGGTAATTTGATTTTGAGGGACTTTGCTTTCTGTTTTCTTTCTGTAGGAGAATATTCTTGTTCTATGTACGCTGTTAACACTGAATGTTTCCCTCCCCACAGTTGGGTTTTGCACCGTATAAACTCTGTGATTACAAAAAGTTGGGCAAAAAAAACTCACATGCATATATTAAAATCAGTAAATATCTAAATATGACAATTTTTTAAGAATGTATTTTGATTATGGGTATTGATTTGGTTTTGTCGCTCCGAGTTGCTTGTAATATTACGTGTATATGATGTCTAATTAGTTTGGGGGAACCTGAAGCATTATTCTGAATGCATGATGTTAAAGTCTGTTTTGCTCTTATCCTGCACTGTGTCTGTTTAACTGTTGTGATCGCGTCCTTCCTCTGTGACTGGACGGAGAAGAAGCTTACGGGGTTTTCTTTTCTCTTTTTGTGTTTGTTCTTTGCTGCTGCTAAGATAAACTGTTCCAATTAATTTCCGCTGTGAATCTTCTATTGTGGAACTTCGAACATTGAAACATTTGCATTGCATATACTGCAAGAACTTTGCATCTACTTAATAATAAAAACATTTGTATGTCAAGACAAGGTCTTTTCCATTCTTTCTAAAGGGAGGAAATTTTAAGTATATATGCACTGTGAAGTTTATTCAAGACATTTGTAATGCATGAAAGGATATGTGAATGGAAAATTTGAAGTCAGAGGTTGCACTTTCATGGCTCAGGAAATTATGGTGTGTTTCATTGAAATGAAAATTGTTTCCTATTGAACTTCTACAGAGAAACCGAGGCAATGTAGAGAGTGCTGCCAGGAGTATCAGACATCATCTTATTTTTATTATATATATATATATATATATATAAAACTGTACATTTTTTAAATTGTCAAATGTGCTACAACTCTGAACAAAGAAACTGTTAAGACCCTGTATAGTTTTTTTTAAGGTTCTTTACTCTCTCTTAGTTTATTTGGGGAAAGGATTGTAACACACATACCTTTGTCTTTTGTGCAAATGCTACACGAAATGATACACAGCTGTAAACTGGGGTCCACGGTCTGAGACCAGATAGGTGGGCACACCCCATCGAGTGAATATCTCCTTTATCAAGATGTTAACAATGAGGTGAGTCTTGGCAGATCTCAGAGGAAATAATTCCACCCATTTACTGCAGTAGTCTACCACCACCATCAGGTATTCATTGGACTGGGAACTCCTTGGGAAGGGACCCATGAGATCAACACCCAACATGTGGCCAGGCTCGACTACTGGTGTTGACTGTAGGTGACCAGACAGCTTGGAGATTCTTGGTTTATAAATCTGACAGGTATGACAGGTTGTACAAAAACTCCAAACATCCTTGCGTATCTCTGTCCAATAGAC